GTGAGATATGGATTGAGTCAGATTAGGCAGATAGGGAAGTCACACCTTACTCTCAGGGAAAGAGGGACACATGACGGGCCCCAGATGGCAGGGCTGGAGGCAGAGAAGGGAAGGAGCTCATGGCCACAGGGGCCTATGAACCCTACAAGTGTGTTCCTTGGCTCTTGGTGTCAGGCCAATGGGCCTGAGATCACCCGATGGAAAGAGCAAGGGCTGGGCATTCCAAGATCAAAACTATTCCAGCTGTAGGTTCAGAGATGCGGCAGGTCAGGGAGGGCTCCCTGGGGAAGCGGGAGAGAACCACCGCTCACAGCATGGCCCCCATGGGCAGCTGTGGGATGGGGAGAGTCACGGGCTCCTCTGGGAGGGGTCTGTCCAGTTCCGCCTCACAAGAGCCCCTGTGAGGTTGTCCGTTGATTCCTCCACTTACTGATGAAGAAATGGAGGCTCAGAGAAGTTACCTGAGATCACATGGTTGAGAAGCTGAGCAAGAATTCCAGAGACAAAACCTGCTGCCCACACAGTGCTTGACCTGGTTGGGCCTGTAAAAGGAGTTTCAGCTTCATCTCACATTTTAAAATGAAGGCAGCCGTTACACCTGTCCCAGAAGATGAAATGGGACTAGGTCCGCAGGACAGTATGGCGCTCAGCAGACAGTGTGTGTTCGAGAAATGAGTTATTGTTACAGATGGTTGTTTTCAGTTTACAGACAAGAAATTATGGAAGAGAGTCCATTAAGTTCTTCATATGCAGAAGAGTAAAGGTCAAAATCTGGATTCAAAGCAAGACAAAGGAAATGCCAAAGTTCACTCAAGTTTTTTCAGTTCATCCCAAGATAAGAAAGGAGGTGAGCAATTCAGGCAGGTCAGAATCATCAGCAAAAGCACGAGACGGGGTTGGTTTATGCAAGGAGGGTTGGACTTAGGGACCACAAGGACATCAGGTTTTGGCCTCGGTTGGAGAGTGGGCCTTAACTACCCAGATGGGCCGGCTGGGCTTCAATTCAGTGTTATGCACAGAGTGCCTACCGCACGCCAGGCTCCGTGCCTGACAGAGCAGAGCCCTGGCATGGGTGCTGTTGACAGCCACCTAGGCTGGCCGGGGTGATGACACCCTGTGGACTTTGCCTGCTTCTCCCTGGCCCAACCTTCAGCCACGGAGGTGGCAGGTCATGCACTACCTAGTGAGACTAAGGGACCTGCCGTGGCACGTGTTACCCCCAGAGAATGAGCTCAGGTAGGCCGGGTCGCATCACTCTTGGCAACCTCAGGTGGTGGGTGTATCATTACGTCCATTTGACGGAAGAGGAAACTATGGCTTAGAGTGGATGGGACTTGTCAGGATCACATGGTTGCAGCAGGACCAGGATTTGAACCCAGGTCAATCTGTCTCCCAAGCCTGTGCTCTTGCCTTCATGCTGGGTTAGGCTATCGGCTTCTGAAAGGCACAGACAGGTGAGTTGGAGGAAACACGGCTGGAGGGTACCCAGGCACCAGGGGAGATGGCAGGCAGAGATGGGTTGAGGACCCAGGCAGGGACTGATCAGAAGGATGGTCTTTAAATAGAACTGGAGAGAGGGGAGGAAAAGACATGGGTCTGGGGCATGGAGAGCCCTGAGGTCAGCCTTGTAACTGCCCACCTTGCCCTGGGCCAACCTGTCTGCCTGCATCTTTTGACCCAAGAAAGAACCCTGGAATGAGCCGGGTCAGATAAGCCTGAGTCCCCGCTCTGCCCTTGACTAACTCATCACCAGGGACAAGTCACTTTACCTCTGGAGCCTCACTTTCCCTGTCTGTGAAATGGTCTCCCTCTCACGCCACCCGCATGGTGTCTTATACACAAGACAGGTGCTTAACACACAGCGTCCTGCCCCCATGTGCTGGGGGCCGCCCTGCCCCCAGCGCCCCCAGCCCCTTTCCTGGGAATGGGCTCTGGGCTTGTCAGAATGCCAGCCAGCTGTCAACCCCACCCTGGCTGGCCAGTTAATGAGTGACCAGGGTGCCAGAGCCTGGCCTATAAAGCGCTGCTAGCCCGGAAAGCAGGTGGGAGCCAAGTGGACAGCGGCAGCGGTGGCGGCGGTGGCAGCGGCAGCGGGTTACAGAGGGAGCGAGATGGCCTGCAGGGCAGGGGCCGGGCTCCTGCTGTGTGGGGTCGCAGTGGTCTTCCTGGTGTTGCTGCAGGGCACACAGTCAGTCTACATCCAGGTTTGTTCATCCCGCCAGCATGCCCTTGGTCTGAAGGGCCCCCCAGGGAGAGACCTGGATGGAGAGGGAGCACTGGGAAATCCACTGAGGAGAGCGCAAGACCAGGGCTCAGCCCAACACGGTCACAGCCCAGGGGCCAGGACAGCTGGCGGTGGGGGCAGCAGGACTGCCCATCAGCGGTGATGGGGATGGGGACAATAAACGGCGATCATTCAGCGCTGCCCTGCAAAGGCCCCTCCCGGTCAGAGGTCCGAGTGTGGAGCATGACGTGGTCCCTGCCCTTGAAAAGCCCAGAACGGGAGGGTGACTTGTTTCGTGCTCACACAGCTCTCAGTATCACCCCTGTATGGTGGCAGGGGGATGGTCACCAGGACAAGTTTCCCTGGCGGGTAACTCACGCTGACATTGCAGGACTAGTGAGAGGTAGCCAGGCACAGAGGCTGAGGACTGCCGCAGGCAGAGGGCACAGCATATGCAAAGGCCGGGACAGAAGACAGCGGGGGCCCAAATCCCTTTCTAGGGACTAGAAGGAGTCTGTGGGAGCAGGGCCTGCCTGGGGTGGGGTGGGACGTGCCTGGGCTCCTGGGTGGCACATCCCTGACTCTGGGCAGGGCCTCCTTGGGAAACGGCCAGGGAGTCCTGGGGAGGGGTGTCAGCCTCCCCCGCAGCCGTGGCCTTGAAGCCCAGCCGGCTGGACTAGGCGTTGCCGTCATCGTGCCCTGTCAGTTCAGCTGCAATCGTGCAGTTATCAGGGCTGCCCTGGGTACCAGGCACCAAACGGGAGTGGAGGATGACTGTCTCAGTTTGTCAGATGAAGCTCAGAGTGGGGAAGAGACAGGCAGCCTGTCGAGGAGAGCTGGGATTGGAACCAGGAGTCCTCCAGTCTCCTCCACACCTAGAACCACGGTGCTCCACAGCCTTGCTCGACCTCATCTCCCAGTTAGCCTGTGGCACACTGGACTGTGAAGGGTCAGACACTGCCTCCCACCTCCCAGCTGGTCCTCCGAGTGTGGCCTCAACGTTCTGACTCCATGAGAACAGGGGACCTCTCTGGGGTCTGGGGAACCCTTGTCTCCTGGCAGTGCCCACTCCTGTCTCTGCTCAGGTTGTGATGCCTTCCCACTTCCTCCTCCTCCCCCCCCAGTACCAAGGCTTCCAGGTCCAGCTGAAATCAGTGAAGATGCTGAGCGAACTGGAGGGGCAGGGGATGCCCAGCCCCCGCCTGCAAGCCCAGAGCTTCCAGCCTTCCGTGTGCCACCACCCGGCCCTGCCACTGGATCTCCAGCCCATCTGCGCCTCGGGGGATGCAGCCAGCATCTTCCAGGCCTTGAGTGAGTGTCCCTACCCCAGCAGAGCTCCCTGCCCCTCATTCTCTCTCCTCCCCATCCCCCCAGCTCCTCTATCTCATGTTGTTTCTGTTAAGCACCCTGTGGCTTTTCACCTGAAACAGGGAGATTCAGGAAATTCAGGATCTGGACTCCAAGTCTGAGCACTGAAAGTCAGGCATGCCAAGAACCCCCTCAGTCCCCGGCAACCCGGTCAGGGCGATCGTCCTCCCTCCGGGACGTCACAGATGGGAGGGAAGGGGCACTGGAAACAGACCGCAGTGCAGTGGGACGATGGGGAAAGCAGAGTAAGGACACAGGAGAGAGACAGCTCACATCTGGGGTGGCATAAGGGGCTCTGAAGTGCTTCCAAGAGGAGGTGTCATCTAGGTTGAAAGGGAGGGATGGCCAGGAGCAGAGCTGGCTGGGAGAATGCAGTGACTAGCTAGGGTTTACTGAGCACCTACCAAGTGCCAGGCCCTGGATCAGCACCTTTGCCTGCAAGCTCTCCTCGCCAGCCCCCGTCAGGCCAACACTGTCTGATAAGCAGACAGGAAGACTCAGGCACTGAGTTTAAGTGATTTGTCCGGGGACCGCTAGGACAGGACCTGAGACTTGAGCCCCAGCCTCTCACGCTGCTTCTAAACTTCCCTACTCTTAATCCATGAGAAAGATGCCAGCCCCTCCTCAGACCCTCCTGGAAGCAGGCTTTCTCTGGCTGCCTGGTCAGTGGCTCCCTGGACCGCAGATGTTTCAGGTTCAGGTTCAGCTGACCACTTTCCTCCCCTGCCCAGGGACCATGGCTGGTGATGACTGTGAGCTGTGTGTGAATGTCGCCTGTACCGGCTGCGGCTGAGAGGACCCGGGCACCCTGAGCCAACCCTGGACACCTTGTCCCCCAGTCCTCTGCCTTCACAGCCTCCTGCCCCGACCCAGGCTCAGAGGGTCCCCGCCACCTCAGTCATCGCCCCCTCCCAGGGCCCGAGCAGCTGGATCAGGCGCAAAGCAGTTGGACCCACAATCAGAGAAGAATTTGGCCCCTGAGGCAGCCCTGCTGCTGAATAAATATTCCCTACCTACACACACAGCCGGGTGTGCATTTGTACATCCCGGGGCCAGGGCAGGGCTTCTCAGGAAGCTGGGTGGATTGAGGAGAGTGTTGGACCCATGAGTCAGGAACTTCTCTGGTTTCCTCGCTGGAGGGGTTGGTTCATTAAACCCAGTTTCTTATCGGAGGAGCGAGGCTCCGGGTGGAAACGAGGCTCCGTGATCCCAGAGCTAGGAAGCTGCTGAGCACCCAGATCCCGCAACCCCTCAAGGCGTCCCCCACTGCAGAGCCAGAGGGAGGAGGGGGCGCGCCCTCCTGTAGGTGGGACTGCGGTGGAGCGGGTGGAGGGAAGAACCACATGGGGCCCCCTCCTAGCGCCCCCTTGTCAGGGCTGACTCTGCCCAGGCCTGCTGGAGCTCACCCTTACCCCCTTCTCAGGCTCCCCGGGGCTGTCAGGCCAGCTTAAGCCAGGAGACCTTCCTTCTCTCCATCCTCTGGCCCCAAGGAATATTAGTATCCTGACATTGAGCGTTGGCACACCCTGGGCACCATTCTACACAGTTTGCTTGTATTAACTACAGTCCAAAGGAGCAGATACCATTGTTATTACCATCTCCGCTGTACAAATGAGGAGACCCAGGTACTGGGAACCAATCAGTCCAGGATCACAAGCTCAGCAAAGTGCTGAAGAAGTCTTCTTCCCAGGAAGCCTGGGCCGCAGTCTATGCTCTGAACCATCACACTCCTGCCCCCTGTGACTCCAGGCCCTGGCTGTAGCTGATGGCACCTGGGGGGGACACCCTGCAGGCCCCGCGTTCCCCGAGCAGCTTTCAGTGCTTAACTCAAAGTCAGGCACCATGCTGGGAATTCCTGGGAGACAGAAGGGCTTTCCCCAGGGTGGGCTCCTCCCCAGCCTCCCTCCTGGGCAGCCAGAGAGGAGGAAAGCCAGGTGGAAAGGGGCCATCCCCTCTGAACCAGCATCTAGGGCCAAGGCCATGATGAATGCCCCCAGACCAGCTGCCCCTCCTGACGGCCCAGTCCTGCGTAGGACTCCTGCAGCCGCCCAGTCTCCCAGGCCGCACACCCCAGAGCTCCAGCTCCTTCCTCTCCTCCCCAACAGGCAGGCGAGGCTGGCTAGGGGCCTATGCAATGCCTCCTGTGTCTCTCAGAGCCCCTCCCATCCCTCTGTCATCACTACCTCCCCCTCCCCGCACTCCACAAAGCCACCTTCCTCCTTGCCCTGCGTCCTGCAGGCTCTCCATGCCCACCATGCCAGGAGCATCACAGCATCGCTCTGATGGTGCCCCTTACCCTTCTGTGGCTCCCCAGTGCCACCTCTCAAGTCAAAGCTGAGCCCACACACCATCTGGCCTCATCTCCCACCTACCTAGGGAGGAGGCAGTAAAGGGAACTGTCACTCACTGACTGAGCACCTGCTGTGTGCCAAGCACTAGGCTGAGCCTTTCACACAGAAATAACAATAATAATAATAGCATCGGCAAAGTGCTCACACGGAGACTCGAGGAATTCTGAGTATTACTTCATTTAACCTTCATTCAACCCTATGAAGTAGGGATTCTTGTCATTCCCATTTTACAGATGAGGAAACTGAGGAGACAACAGGCTAAGTAACGTGCCCAAAGTCACACACAGGCTACACCTGGATTCACACCCAGAGAGTTTGGCCCTAGAGCGAGAGCATGAAATGATTCTACCCCACCAGCCATCTCATCAAGTCCCCCTGCAGCCCTGGGAGGCCTGACCTGTTATCATCCCCATTCTCAGATGAGGAAACCAAGTCTCAGAGAGAGATCCTCGGCCTGTCAATGACACGGCCTGGCTTAAGCCAGGTCCTGTGTGTCTCCCAGGCTCCACCTTGTCCAGGCTGAACCATTCTAGTGCCTCGGACCTTCCTAATTCTGTGTCTGCACCAACCCCATCTTCTGGAATGCCCTCTGCCTCCCTCTATTCACACTTGTTTTGAAATGGCATCCATCTCAATGCAAATCTCAGGAGCTAATGCACGTGCCCCGCCTCCCAACCCCATTCACAAAGTTTAGCATCCAGCACCTCATCCTCTGAATTCTGCAGCCCAGGGAATCCTGCCCAAATCACCCTGTGGCACTTCCCCTCCTGGTCCCTCCCTAGGAAGGCCCCTGGTTCCTCTTCTTTCCTCATTCCCTCTACCTTTGCTAACAAGCCTCTTCCACCCCTGCTTGAATCACTCTCAGCTTGACCCTGGTTTCATTTCTTCCTTTCTTCCTTTCTTTCTTTCTAATATTTCTTGAATTGTCTCATGTTGCATATGGCCTGAACTTTACTTGCATTACCCACACATTTACAGGCAAGATTTCACTGTGCCTGGGAGGCAGATACGATTATTATCCCAGTTTAACAGAGGAGAAGACTGAGGCTCAGAGGGGGAAAGCAACTTTCTTAACATCACACAGTACGTGGAAGACTCCGGCAAGAATGCAAGGCTAGAACAGTGTAGCTCTGCTTGCCCTTGCCCTGTGCTGTACAGGCAGAGCCACCTGGTGGGTCTGGCCTGCTCTGGGGATCAGAGAGACTTCCCCCGTACAGAAGCCCTTACACCCCAGGGAGGCCACCTGGCAGGGGGTGTGGGTGATTGAAGTGCCCGGGGAGAAGCACCAGGTGGGGTGGCACACGGACTTCTCCTGGAAGGGTGGGGGAAACCTACACTCTGAGGAGAGGGCACAGGAGCCAAGCCTTGGCACTGAAGCAGAAGTTGATGTGGCCAGGAGTGTGGGAAGAGGGGCAGAGCAGAGGGAAGAGGAGCAGAGGAAATGTTGAGAGCTGTGGCTTGGGGTGTAGGCCCTGGGGGAGGGCAGGAGGGGCCAGATCCTGAGGCACCTTGAAAACTCTTCAATTAGGGGCTGATCTCAGAGCCCCTCAGTGTCTGTGTAGGTCACGCTCACCAGCACCAGCACTCACATGTGGCCTTGTGACCTCAGTGACCCCAAAGAGGAGCAGAGG